TCCCAAGGTGGCAGAAGAAGATAAAAGACCAAATATCATCTCAGCCCCAGGCACAGCGGAGGCTCCCTTTGATGGGGGGGGGGATGAACAAAGGGGCAGGCTTCTCCAAGACCTGTTTTGCTTAGTCGTGGGCTTTACCTGCTGCTGATTCACCACCACCACCACCCCACACACACTCAAACACATTCAACTTCTGGGATCCTGGCCCTTGGGCTGCATTCCGCCGCCCCCCCCCCCGCGCTGTTGCAGATGTTGTTGTTTTTAAAAGTGTCTTTGTGGCTCCGGTTGTGGGCTGATTCGTGCAAGAAAGGGCCGGGCTTCCGCATCAGGTACACTGTGGAGCGGGGGGGGGGAGGGGTGTGGCGGCTCAAAAGGTAGCCAGCCAGCAAGTCAGTGGGTGAAACATTAATCGGCCCAGAGGACCTGCCTCCCCAGGGCGACTTTTGATAAAGGTGGAAACAAAGGCAAGACCAGAGGCTGCTCTGTTGGCGAGAGAATGGGACCGGATTCTCAGGCTGGCCGGCCGTTTGAGGGTTTGGCTGCTGCGGCTGTTTCCCTTCAGGACTGAGGTGGAGAGTCCAATGATGGTTTGGCAAGCGGATGTGCCATTGGGCAAACGACTGGGCTAACGAAGGCAAGGGGCCAGATGGCCCACCGCCAGAGCGAAAGAAGACCTTGAACTTTGCTCAGACTTTCCCCCTCCAGTTACTGAATTACCCAAGCCAGACATCTTTCCCCCCCCCGCCACCCTCATCCACTGTGGGGAATTGAACCCGGGACCCGTTGTGGGCAAAGCTGGGGCTCTGCCAGGGACTGGGGCCGGCCCCTCCCAGCAGCGCCCCCCACCCCACCCCACCCCGGTCTGACCTGTGCCTTGCCTTTGCAGCTTGCCTGTGGCGGTGGCACGGCCCACTGCCCCGGGGGTGTGACCTGGGCCGTGCACCTGGCAGGAGGACCGGAGGGCTCGCCTCCCTCTGAGGAGAACGACCTGGACCGGCAGGCGGACGAACTGGCCAAGGAGGCCGGCCTGGTGAACCTCGGCCGGATCGGGGAGCTCAGGGGTCACTACCTGCTGGGCTACCGCCCTGCGAGCGCCACGGATCTGGGCCTGGAAGCCATCCAGCGATCGGCGGAGGCGGTATTTGTGCAGCATGACGGCGTGAGGTGGCACGCCGAGCAGCGGCTCCTCAAGCGGTCCAAACGCGCTCTGCATTTCAATGACCCCAAGTTCCCCCAGCAGTGGCACCTGGTGAGCCCTCGGACGCCAGCCCTGGGGGGCCAGGTGGGAGGGGGGCTGGGGGTGGGGCTGGGG